CTGCACATACCACCACCACCACCACAAGGTCACATTTTTTCCTCTGCTCCAAAATGAAACTTTCTTAAACAATTTTTTTTCCTGAAATGAAGTCTTTTAAACATTTAAGTAGAACAGAAGGTAAAAATTCTAAAATTACGTTCTTTATGATCAACAAACCACTGCTGGGACAAGAATGTATCTCCATGAAAAACCCATCCAGACCCTTACTACTGCAGACTTAAAACGACGTTCAGTACTTGCACAGAACCCTAGAACCAGGAGCTTCTGTGCTGCAGCTTGGATTCAGGGTTCTTGACTTATTTGATGAAGTACAATGGTGCTAGGCCCTGATTCTGATCCAGCGTTTGATTCTGATGTGTCTGATCTATTTATTCTAAAACGTTTCTTATTTCTGAGAAACTTTTATCCCCTCCCACTTTCAAATCAGCCACTGTCCCTGGAAAGGCTGTGGCAGACCATTACATAAATGAGACACTAAGCTATAGGGGAGATGGAGGCATTGATGGACATTTATTGAATTCCAATAATGTCCCAGAACTTGTGTTGCATCCTTCAATGTCGGCTTCCCATTAATTATTTACGGCTTTTATGTTAACTATTTTATCATAATAATGATATCAATTATTGGCACCTACTATATGCCAGGAGAAGGCCTGGTGGTGCAATGATTAAATTGCTTAGCTGCTGACCTCAAAGTTTGGCAGTTTGAGCCCACCTTAAGGCTCTGAGGGAGAAAAGACCTGGCAATGTGCTCCCATAAAGATTATATCCTATAAAATCTTATGGGGGGCAATTCTACTGTCATATTAGGTCACTGGTGGCACCTAACAAATATGTGCCAGACAAATTACAGTGGATCGAACCATGGTATTATATGATACTTGACCCAACCTGAATTTACTCAAAGTATTTCTAGGCTCAAGTATTTCTCCCTAGGTTCTGTGACAAAATTTCTTCTCTGGCTTTTAATATTTATGGTGGTCTTTTTTTCCTCACCCCTTATTTTTATCTTTATCTTTTTATCATTAGTTTCTTCTTGCTGTTTTGATTTTGTTTTTTATTATTTCTGTCGGGTTTCCCAGTTTGTAAAGCATAGGAGTGGATGTAGGAGACGATAACTGATGTAATGGCTTATTGGGCATGTCGGGGGCAGGGAGGGGATCTGGGGAGCAAAGAATGAATGCAGGAGGGGGCAGGCAGCATTAGAATGGATTATGATAATGTGTATACTATTTTTTAAAAATCATTATTAGGGGCTCATACAACTCTTACATCCATCCATGTGTAAAGCACATTTGTACATTCATTGCCCTCATCATTCTCAAGACATTTGCTCTCCACTTAAGCCCTTGGCATCAGCTCATTTTCCCCCCTCCCTCCCTGGTCCCCCTCCCTCATGAACTCTTGATAATATATAAATTATTATTTTGTCATATCTTGCACTGTCTGACGTCTCCCTTCACCCACTTTTCTGTTGTCCGTCCC